CTATTTTTCTACAGCATGGTAAAAGACAATAAAATATTAGAAACCAAAGATATCCATTGTGGTACCAATTATGCTTTTATTGTCCATTTGACACCAGGGAACTTAATTCACTTTTCTGAGTCTGCAATATTTTCCCTGCATACTTTACAGACTTGTAATGAAGGCCAGTAAAATATTATTGTGGTGTGCAAAATAATGTCTCCTTTCCTCAAAGATGTCTATTATGAACACAAAGATTATCCCCAGAACGTGTGACTAAGTTAAGAGATTATGGGGTAAGGGAGAAATCAGGCTGCAGGTGGAATTCAGATTGCTAATCAGCTGACTTTGTGATTGAGAGATGAGTTGAGGTTCATCAATGGCCACAATGTAATCACAAGAGTCAGTGTAAGTAGAAGAGGGAGACTGAAGAGAGAAGCTTAAAGAGACAGCTGTGTGACATGATCTCTGGCCAATCCAGCTGACTTTAAAGATAGAGAAACTGAGTCAGAAGCCCAGGAATGAAGGCACCTTGTACAAACGAGATTGCCCCAGGCTTCAGAAGAAATGCATCACTGTGGATCCATTTCATATTTCTAACCTCGAGGATTTAGGGAATAAAAATTCACATGTTCTAAGACAATAGATGTGTGGTAATTTGTTACAACGGCAATTGGGAAAAAACAATATTTTGAAATTGGTAGGAAATTATATAAATGTAGCTGCTATTATTTTTCCAGCAAGAAAGCTCAGTTTAGTTTCTAGCAGCCTTGACAACAGACAAGTTGACAACCAGGAGATCTTCAGAGCTGTATCATATTTCCTTGTCAAAGGCAGATGCCCTTCCTTTTCGGTTTCAGGGCCTAACCATTTCTGCTCTCAGTTTTCATTTTATTTGTGAAGCAGAGTTGATTACCATGTAATTATTATCAAACCATTTCCAGCCACCAGCCTTTCTAGTTCCTTAGACGCTCTTCAATTAATTTGATTCTGTTGTTCCAAAAGAGATGGTAAAGAACTTTTTCAGAGTCACAGCACTACAGCAAAATTATGTAAAGATCATTCCTACTTTCTTGACAATGATTAATTCTCTGAAAACCACTGTAAAATAATATGCGAAGTATAATATGCTAAAACATCATTGTTTTTAGAGTTTTTTTCACTGGCCTGATTATGAAAGTTAATAGACTATTTCCCATAGATTAAAGTGCCTTGATTTATGATGTAGAATTCAAATGTCAGGGTTAGGTCATACTTATTAATCCCAAATTTACAAAATTAATGCAGTAATAAAAATTTAAGTGTATTAAGGAAATAAAATACAAATTCATGCTGTTAAGTCTTCAAGATTAACCAAGTTAAATTCACAGTGAGAAATGGAATAATATTTTTACAATGATGCTTACATCAATCACTAAGTGACACCATCTTATTTCTTTTTATTATAATTTAAGAACTTTGTTTCTTACTGTTTTTGTCTTAATTTTTTTTAAATTATATTACTTTACTTTTACATATTTTTGTGCATTTTTCCATCTCAGTTGCAATCCCCTTTCCTATCACCAATCACCCATGTGCCATCACCATAGTCCAGTGCATTTCTCTCCCCCCACTGTTTTTGATCCCATTCCCCACTCCAACCTCACAAAATGTCTCTGGTATATGGCTGTTCATCATTATCATTATTTTCTCGCCTGTTCCGTTATATTCCTGCTATGAGAGAAACCATCCGGTATTTTTCCTTTTCTTTCTAGCTTATTTCACTAAGCATGATCTTTTCTAGCTCCATCCATGTTGCTACAAAAGACATGTGTTTCTTTTTTTGGTTGCTGAGTATTATTCTATTGTATATATGTACCACATCTTGTCTTTCTTTTTATTTTAGAGAATGACATTTTTGTGCCTGCTGATAATATCACATTATTAGTGTCTCATGTAAGTTTCAACTTCAATTTGTACTTAACTTTGTATCCCATGACAATCAGGCAGTTTTAGGAGGGCAGAATTGAGAATCCATTAAGCACAAATATATACACCAAGACACACAATGATACACCAGTTATTATGTATCCTGGGTGTATAATGTCTAATAGTGGAAATGAACTCAGGTTTGAGAAACATATCACCCTGAACTTCAATTGTACAGTTTATTCAATTCAGAAAAAAAATAACTCATAATAGTCTCAAACACTCAAAAATAAGGAGGTATAAATTGGCCTGTAGTTCATGCCCCAGCTCACATTTTCATGGTTATCTTTTAAAAGAGAATTGCGGCCCTCCCTGGTGGCGCAGCGGGTTAAAGCACTGCATTGAGAATCTAAAGCCGCTTCAGCATGAGTTCGATCCCTGCCTGCCCCGGAGGTGGCCACATGGTGAGGCAGACCTCTCCTGGCCAGCCCGCTACTCCCTTCAGCAGTGTACTTCGTCAATCTGCCTGTTCTGCTCCCCACTCTGTCTCTGGTGAAGCCTCTCACCGCCCCTGAGCCTCTGGCCTGTACCCCAGTTCTGTATGCACAAATAAATAAATCTTAAAAAGAAAAAAAAAAAGAGAATTGCAATACAGTATTGTACAGTAGGGCAAAGTGTTGTCTATGAACTGAAGTAAGGCTATGAAATGTTACATGTTGCATGTTCTAAGTATAGAATTTGAGATTAATATCATGTCTACTGAATTTAGCAATAAAGAAATTGGGGGTATAGTTTCATGTTTTGGGCTTTTATCTAGCCATTCAAATGGTTAGTTTTTATTTTGTTATAGAAAATTATTTGTCTGTGACTTATTGTATTTTTAAAAAGCAGAAAGCTGGTCATTTACTATAGGTAGCTTGTAAAGCACTATTCACAGAAGATAAAAGCTAATTCTAAAAAAAAAGAAAAGAACAAAAAAAACATATGTGAAGAATTTATTACAACACATATTAAAATACATCATTTCAAATCACTTATAAAATGACTTTAATTAAGATTAACACTTAAAGTGATTCCATCTCTTATGACTATTTCACCAGTCTTAGATCCAACATGTATAATAAATGGTTAGGAAAATTTCAAAGTTCAACTAAGTAACTTTTCTATTTCTAATTAATATATGCCAATTACAGATTTGTATTTACTGTACTTCAAAGATTAGTTTTATTAAGAGAGTAAAAATTAGTCAACTATAAAAGTTCAACAGAATAGGTAAGATTTCATAACCTCCACCCTACCACCCAAAAGATAAATATAAAAAAATAAAAAATCATCATCTAATTCTGATCATTCGGTAAACTGGATAATAAGCCTATCCCTGAAGATCCCTTACAAAGAACCATGCCTATTGAAGAGTTGAAACGAGATATTCAAACAAATCCTATATGCAATGTTTACAGCAGCACACTTCAGAATAGCCAAATGTCTATCAGTAGAAGAAAGGAGAAAGAAAACGTATCTCCATCCACAAAAAGGAATATTACTCAGCCAAAAAAAGAAACACTGATACAATGCTACAATGTGAATCAATCTTGAAAATATGCTAAGTGGAGGAAGCAAGAGGCAAAAGGAAGCATTATATGATTCCATTTATATGAAATATATAAATTAGCTAAATCCATACAGACAGCAGGCTGAAAGTTTCGGGGGGCTTGTGGTGAAGGATGCATGAGAAGTAAAGTTTAATGGATATTTTTTTTTTTTAAGATTTATTTATTTGTGCATACAGAACTGGGGTACAGGCCAGAGGCTCAGGGGTGGTGAGAGGCTTCACCAGAGACAGAGTG